AATCATGTTTCACATAATGTTTTTTCTAACAAATAATTGTGAACTTTTTGAATTGTCACATTATCAACTCTTTTATGATCCCTCTTGATATATAAAATTTGTATATATTGTGCGTATGTAATGATGATTTTTTCGTTCAAATAAACGGCATTAGTAGCATATCATATTAGATTACTCACACTTTCGTGTATCATGTTAAAATCTTGCGTTTCGACGCTAGATGTTGAAACTATGCTATGTAAAAGCTTGATCTTACAAGTAATCTCATATGCTGATATTATTTATTCGAATACAACAAACGATAATATTCAGAAAATAATATCATTTCAATACACATGAGCATGTATTGTTGCTGGTGCAATCAAAGAAACTAAGGGAGAGAACACCTTAACACACTTGGGATGGAATAGTGTTAATGATCTTTTTTATATGTATCGACTGTTGCAGTTCTATAAGATTTGGAAACCTGGTATTAATAGCAAGTTAAAAAATTTTATCATAGACAAAAAATTGGGATTGAGAAGAAAATGAATGATTTGAAGTACATTAGTACTTTTAAAAAATTTAAGGAAGAATTATTTCGGAAATATCTTTCTTCGTACTTTAAAAGGTCAATCGTTTCAAGAAAAGTTGAAAAAATTTTGTTCATTTTGTCACGAATTTTTCGCTCCTTAATGAAACACTTTTCAAAAGAAACCTTATTTTTAGCAACTTGTGTGTCTGTGGGGAGAGAGTCTACTAAACATTTTCTTCTTTACTGCAGAGACTACCATATACCTAGACAAAAACTCTGATTTGATCTGCAATCTGTATTAGGATCAAGTCCCATGTCTTCTGAACTGTTGCTGCTATCTAGTCCTTCATTGACCGATCATGAACAAAAATCTATAATATATAAAGGTGTCACACATTATATCAATGAAACAGAAAGATTCTTATAAATGTGTTTTATTTATACAGTTTTACTAGCCTTACATGTTCTGTTTTTGTTTTTTTTGTGTAAAACTTAAGTTGTGAGTTTTATTTATCGTGAATGCTACAATGATTCGCTTGTTCGTCACGTTAGATAAACTATATTTGCATTAAACCTCTTGCTCCAGCAGCATTCTCGATTAAATGACACTATAATTTATTCATTATGATACTTCAACATCCAATTACTCTAAATCTGTGCAAAATAGTACAAAGGTTTGCTACACGTAGTGAAGATAATATTGACAACGTAATATTATATTTCGTAAATTTTAAAGCGGATCTATACAAAAGAGAAGACGTTGACATTAAATCAATCATTTTTAGAAAAAGTACCAGAGCTATTTCATTCTAATTAATTAAGGATACCCACCCTCCTCGCAAAAAAGAGGCGGGGTACCCTTAATGTTGTGAGAGAACGCTTGAAGAGGGGATAATCCATCTGTCGATAAGTTATAAGAAGTATTGCTGCTCGAGAATTTTTATGGATTATCCTTGTTTGATATTCATGTATATCATTCTTTCACTTGTATCTATATGGTAAACTCTGCTACGGTCTAAGTTCACCAGAATAAAAAGAATACATAAAATAATAGAGATCTACATACATCCAGAAGTCAATGATATGATAGCCTTGATGCCTTTGAAGTACTGATAAACCAAATATTTTTTGTCGGTTTATTCATTAATGTTGTTTTCTTGCTTAACTTCGACCTTATAAGTTTACTTATCTATATTTCTGATGAATATTTATTATTCGCGTAGTAACGTAATATTTTTTGGAACTTTTTGAGTTATATATCATCATGAAACCGAAGAAACGTAATTGATCGTAAATTAAAAAAGAAAATATTTTCGTTAAAATAGTACGTTTCCGAATCACTCCGGTTCAAACTGCATGTGCTATGAAACACGTACGAAATGTCGATATAAAAGTATTAGATAATTTTCGTCATTAATGAAACTGAATGTTCTATTATTTCTAAAGAACCAACACGAGACGAATACAATTTTGATGACGAATATATCGAATCGTCACTGTTTAAAACAAGATCTTGGTAGATCGGTCTCTGTCTCACGGATTCAAGTAGTACTTTAGTTTATGAGTAATTAATCAAACTGTATTGAGTAGGATTCTAATAAAGACTAGTATTTTTGAGAAATGTATAAATTGAACAGAAAAACTTTTCGTTTTGTTATTAGACATAGAAGAAATTAACATACTATTGGCAGAACTACGGAATTTTTTCTTCCTCTTATTATTAAGCGTATTTTTACGTCGCTGTTTCATATTTGACCTTCCATAATTCCATATTTTTAAGAGTATCTAAATGTTCTCGGCTTCCGTTTTCTTCTAATAATCTATCTCGTTATTTATGAAGAGTTGTATCTCAATGGTGTTTCTCTCTTTATTATTCTCTATTATTTCTTCTGTCCGCTGTCTTGGTGTTCTTATTTCTCATGATTAGAGGGCCGTCGAGTATGCTATGGATATTGCTCTTGTTTACTGCTTCGTGGCTTCGGATTAGGTCCACCAGAAGTTCGGTATCAAATCTTCCTTTCCTGCAGTCTTCCTAAACTCGGTTATTGTTGCGAATTGTACGAAACTTCGTTTTTTCCTTCGGTTCCTGACTCTAAAATCAAACTTCTTATGTTATTGCTCGTAATTTTGACTATCGTTCTTCTAGCTCTTGTCATATGTCACAAGGCTTGGACACATAACTTTGCTACCACAGTGTGATTCCATCACGACTTTTCAGTATTTTGTTCCTCTTCTAGTTTAAGTAAAATACTTCCAGAGCTCTTCCTAGTCGACAGTTCCGGAAAAGTCCCCTGGGATTCCCGTTTTTAGATAGAAGTTATATTTATTTTAGGGATTCGGGACAATTATGATAAGTACTACGGGACTCCCAGAAAAGTGAAAAGTCCTGTGTGACATTCTCTATAATTTAAGATGTTTCAGAGTTTTGAAAGTGTTTTGGTTCGAAAACTGTAAGAGAAACAAATACAGAAAAACTATGATGGACGCACGCTGCAGTAGCAGAGTTACGTGGCTTACGAGGGAACCTCTCCAGGTGTTAAATCGCTTTTCGCTCGGGACCATTGCCGTTCGATAGGTCCTAGTGAGTAGTGAAAAAGTCTATCTTGGTTTGGGTGCATGGGCCTCTGGGACTGAGATATTGAATTTTTCCTGCATGACCCCAGTTTTCCAGCAAATTTATATTTTCGAATTTTGACCTGAAACTTTGCCCACAAGAAGACCTCAACTAAACTAGCTTCCATAAAAAAATTTCACAAGTTTTGAACAAAGTCTTTCTGAGATATGAATTTTTCAAGATATAAGCGCTTTTCCATAGATAGTGTATAAAACATGCATCTTTTGGAAAATTCTTATCTCAGAAAGACTTTGTTCAAAACTTGTGAAATTTTTTATGGAAGCTAGTTTAGTTGAGGTCTTCTTGTGGGCAAAGTTTCAGGTCAAAATTCGAAAATATAAATTTGCTGAAAAACTGGGGTCCTGCAGGAAAAATTCACTAAAAATTCAATATCTCAGTCCCAGAGGCCCATGCGCCCAAACCAAGATAGACTTTTTCACTGCTCACTAGGGCCTATTGAACGGCAATGGTCCCGAGCGAAAAGCGATTTAACACCTAGAGAGATTCCCTCGTTAGCCGAACTATCTCTTCGTTGTAAACATTTCCAATTTCTCTAGTTCTTTAAAATCGATTGAAACCCAGTTCTCGCTATATTTTTTATCCTTCTGTTTATTTGCCGTCCTCGCTATGCCTCTTTACGTTCTCATCATTCTGAGTACGCTCTTATTTCTCCTCTTGTCAATCACTTTCTCCTCACAATTTCCCTTTTTTCATTCCATCGTCGCTTACTGGAACAAACTTCCGTAATCCGTAATGAACTAAATTTATATCTCGGCGAGGGCGCTGTGTATTGATCGTCAAACGGCATGAAAGCTGATCGTATAGACCACCTATTATTGTAATACCAGGACACAAGAAAACAGTGCCGAGATGTAGCGACCTCATCAGGATATTAACAGACTTTTCTCCATTACTGTCTTTCAAAATTGCCCTCTCTCAGCAACTTCCACAATATACTCCAGCCTTGTCTATATACTTCATAGCTAATCATGTTATCAATTGTTTATTTATTATTGGTTTCTGTTCTTTTGTTTTTTCTCTCTTATTTTCTTTTTGTTTTATTTTAATCTGTTTTTTTACTTCGTTTTATGTCTGTACTTGTCTCTGTTCATCATTCTGTTTTTTTTCTGTTTGTTTTCGCTGCTGTTCGACCTCAGTTACTGTTTTTTATAGGTCGAGATCCTACTCATTCAAAAGTTGTTGTAAACAGTGTTTCTAATAAGAGACTGTACTCGCTGAACCCGGGTGTATAGTACCCTAACGAAATTAAATATACAAACTGTTTTACACGGTGTGAGAAACAACAGAGTGTACAGTGTACACTTTTAATTTTTAATTTACACTTTGTTTTGAAAAACAGAGTGTGTGCATACACTGTCGGTTCCGAAACAGAGTGTACCAGTACATTCAAAGGATTTCTACAGATTCAGCACACTTTCACTCTCACAGACACCTACAATAGAGAGTGTGCTGAATCTGTAAAAGTCCATTCCGACTCTGATTCTCCTTAGAAACACTGGTTGTAAAGTGGAAGATCGTAATGCTAATTTGTCTATTCGTTCAGGATAAATCACTGACCAAGACAAATAAAGGAGGCAGAGAAGGAGAAAGGAGTCCTCAAGTTATAATATTAAGAGCTAATTTCTCATCAGCCCATAATGTCACCTTTAGACAGCCACTGGCTCAATTTACACTAATGTATTTACGTTACCGAAAATTTATCTAAATGAAAATCTAGTTAAGCAATTAAATTGTTTGTTTCACTGTGTAGATGGAGAGTTGTTTAATGCTAGTTTGATCTTCTTTTATAGTGTGGTTATGCATGCCTGTCATTTCTAGATGTGACTCCATCTTCATTAACGAAACGTACTAATGGCTCTAGAACTGAAGTTGCATAGTCCTGCTGGTGAACCCTGCGCCGTTTTTACCTGGCCCCTTGAAAAACCCGTAAGTATCTGTGTTATCTTGTCTACTTCCGGTTAAAACTAGAAAAAAAAACAATACCATACGGTGCTAACTATTGAGTAGAACACATTTGGAGAGAAGGCCGAAAACAATGCAGTTTGTTTCCCGTCTACTGTCATCGTTTACAGCTGCTCTGTATAATGTAATGAGCATTTTTTGTAATTATGTTCAGATGTTTTTAAAATCGAGCAAAGCTTTCGTTCATTTATTCTGAAAAAAGATCTAATATGTTTGATATGTGCTTGTTCTCATTAATATGAAATATGAATAACATTAAAATGTTTGTTTTCTTTTTGTTCATTTAAAGGAAACTAAAAAAGACGGCGTTTTTGTCGGTGGAGATGAAATCGTCAAGACAATTCAGCTTGTGTGCGAGGATTATCCACAGTTATATCAACAAAACTTATGTTTGGACAATTGCGATATCCACTCATTTCAAAAAATGAAAGAACTGTGTGATAAATATAACAAAATTATTGATACGTTAATTCGATTAAATCGTGGAACTGAAGCTTTTTCAGCTCGATTCCAGCAGCGTGCCAGTCAGAAATTATTCAAACATATATTACAACAAGTTTACACACGTGCTGTCACTAATCCAGAAAAACTAAGAACTTATGAGCCATTTTCACCATCGGTTTATGGAGAGACATCGGTTGATTTAATTGATAACATTATTAAGATCATTGATTTGAGAAAAGATGATACATTTATAGATCTCGGTAGCGGTGTTGGAAACGTCGTACTCCAAATCGCGGGTACGTTATATTTATATGTAATTTGAAAAAAGTGTTCCTATTTATTTTCTCTCTAGCACTTACGGATTGTAAACACGTCTATGGAATCGAGCACGAAGAAATACCAGCGAAATATGCGGAAGCTATGGAATCAGAGTTTCGATTTTGGATGAGATGGTATGGTAAAAGATTTTCAGATTTTCAACTAGAACGTGGCGATTTTCTCCTTCACGAGAAAATAAATGATCGTATTAAAGAAGCCGATGTTATTTTCGTTAACAATTTTGTATTTGGTGCAAATGTTGATCATGAATTGAAGCTGAAATTTATGAATATGAAGGTATGTTCAAAAATCAAAAAAGCGGTTCAGTTTACAGAAGAAGCGTCTTATTTAAGGATGGAGCCAAAATTGTATCATCGAAAGAATTTTGCTCAATTGATTTTCGTCTAAATGATCGAACAAAAAATGATATTGGAGCAGTGATGCAAGTTAGTAAACCAGATGAACTATATGGCAAAGTATCGTGGTCAGATAAAAGTGTTCACTATTTTCTACATACCATTGATCATAAAAAATTGGCAAAATATTATGAAGATAAAAAACGACCACAAAGTACAAAAGTATCAAAACCAAGGTATGTTAATGTCTCTTCACTTCTTTGTGTTTCAACCCTTTTTCGTAGTCTGGAAGAGCTTTTATTTTAAATTTAATATCGGAAATAATACTGTTGTTTTGTGCACTTTCGCTTCTTAGACTTAACACTAACGGAGAGGACGAAAATTCCTTGAGTTCGACATCGAACAATTCCCCGACTTCTTCATGCTCGTCGAAATCATCACCTAAAATCGTCAAATTAAAGTCAACTAATGCCACAAAATCATTGAAACATGATGAAAATAAACCACCGATTAGTAAAAAGCGAAAAATTCAAGTACCATTGACATCTGTCACAACAAGTTTGCGAAAAACGTCAACAGTCACACGAAATCGTCGAAAACCGGACAAATTTTGTTCTGAAGATGAAGATATTGAAGACGATGATTTTGACTTGAGTGAGTAGTAATAACTAAAACGATTTATTTTAGTAGTAATAATTAAGGTTTTGAACGTTATAAAATCAATCGTTTCTCAATTTAAGGTATGGATGACGATTTAGATGACAATGAACATCTCAGCACTAAACGGCGAAAATCATCGACACATTATCGTAACACCTTAGGTGAATTACATAAAGCTGCTGAAACCATGATAAACCCGACGAATAACAACAACACTCATCATTCAAGTACAAGCACAACAGTTTCAAATGAAAACCGTTATAATTATCGTGAAATGACAAAATTATCTAATGATAATTTAGAATTAAAACATTTTCGTGATTTATGTGTATTGGAACACGAAGATCAACGATTTTCGAATTTTGTCAATGTTTATCTTCATGAATATCGTAAACGTTTAATTAATTATTTTAATTATATGAAAACCGAACAATATCATCAATACGTAAAGCAGCAGCTAGACGATGAAATAGATTTGAATAAATCATTAAAAGGAAAAATTGTTCATTTAGAAAATTCTATTGAAACATTGTTGAACGAAAGTATTGAATTATTAAAATTACGAACAAAAGAATTGGGTTTTGAAAATTTACAAAAACCAGATGAATTAATAACGTATGCAAATAATATATCGAATACACACAAAGAGTTATGTTGTAAAGTGGCATCGTTAAATAAAGAAATTAATGAGTTAGATACTGAAAATGAAGAAATGGTGAGTTGATAGTTCGATCTTGTTTTTTGCACTGTTGTTTCTTGTCATTATAAAACTTTAATCTTACATTGTTAAAAGGCTAAAACTTTAAACATGAGAGTGATCATTTTTTGATTGCATAATTATCAGCCAAATGTTTTGATCCTACTTGATTTTGTGGATGAAAATAGGCAAATATCTGAAGTATATTGAAGAACTGATAGAACATTAAACAGTCTCAAGGAATAAACCAAACTTTATTTATTTGAATGAAAAATGATAGTATGTCACAATATGAGACATACGATAGTTACGCTAAAATTAATACTTGAAATGTATCTGAAACAGAACGTTATGTTTTAATTTGATATAATTTATTTTTCAAATGTACCCATTTCACTATTATAGGCAACATTTTTAAATGGACTTACACCAAACAGTGGTATAAATGAACAGAATTTAAACAATGAAGTACAAGAACAGCAACAACATGTAACTGAACAAAATTCTCCTGTCCTCAATAAAATTCATAGTCTAAATAGCAAAGAAACGGGAAATAATAATGGCTTACAGACAGACAACACCTATTCATCATTGTTAGCAAGTATGAGTGTACAAACACAATTAGAACGTGATCGTCATAATAATAATAACAACAACAACAATGCGAATACTAATCAGATATTGGTCGAGCGTATTACACCCAATATGTTAAACGCAACTGAACCAACGTTGACTGTCAAGTCAACAAAAGAAACAATTTGCGCTGAAAATACACTACCATCGATTGAAAAAAAGCGAAATGATATATGTTATTCACCAATTAGTCCAACAAATGAAGAGAAAGATTTAACGGTGACCATGGAATTTTTAACTAATAAGCCACAGAATATAGGTATGGATTATTAATTCAAAAGTTTAGTGACCATGGTCATTTTTATTATACCTTTTTTTTTATAACCAAATGTCTGTGGCTTTCGCCATTTAAAAGAATATTATTGATCACGTCTTTTATTAAGAGAAAAAAATTCAAAAATCCTGTAAAAATCTACTCTTTGTAGAATAACCCATTTTAGATTATTTTCATACAAAACTGAGAAAATTCGTAACTCACTCAAAACTAGTTCACAATACTTCAGAAAATTAAAATATGCTTTATTTCAACGGATTTACAAAAGAATGCGAATGGATAACTTTAGATTGAAACTAAACATTCGATTTTTACACGACTGAGAAAGAGTCATAATCTAATGGGCAAATATATGATTCACATGCTGTTAAACCTGATCATGTAAATTATCTAAAATAAAATATGTCTTGATTTTCTGAGGTGTTTCGAATCAGTTTTGTTTATGAGCTATGAATTTTCTCAGGTTTGTATGAAAATAATCTAAAATGGGTTATCCTACAAAGAGTAGATTTTAATGGAGATTTTTAATATTTTTATTAAAAACAAAAATTATCACAAGATCCGGTTTAGTCGAAAACTATATTCCAACTGTTTTTGAAGTATAAAATCTACTTTTGAAAAAGATTTTTAAAATTTTTCTTATAAGAAAAGATGCGATCAAATCTACTCTTTCGAATCCGGAAAGCGTAGGTCTCTAGCTATCTCCTATATCGAAAGCTATTTAAAACCAAGTCACAGCCACTTAGTTTTTGGTTAGACAATAGTGATGTTATATTTCTTGCATGTTGTCTGATAGCATCTTAGAAAGGTTATGCCATAGAGAACTCCGACACCTTTATAACCACCTTTAAATCTACATCTCTATCCTCAAAGTTTCTACGGGTGTATAGTATGTTTCAGCTAAATAGCGGTTATCTTACATTTATTTCTAAGTGTCGTCGCCATCGTATCACATTGTTAAAGCTCAACGAAAAGAAGAAACATATCAAAATAATTCAAAAAAAGAACCATCGAATATTGTATCACCATTAAAATTAGTAAAAATCAATGAACGGCCCAAAAATGGTCGACGATCTCCATTACGTAGTGCACAAATTCAAACGTTGTCGGCGAACATTAATAATTTGCTGTCGACGAAAAAAATTGAACCAGTACAGGTTCATTCAGTAGTGACTCGCCCTCATGTTTATGATAATAAATATCAACAAGAACACCAAACACTTAATCGTCATCAATTAAATTTAGCCGATAAAGTATCGTTACATCCAATCGATGTTAAACAAGTGTATCAACAACTCACAATAACACAACCAATACTATCGAATAATATCAAAATGGAGCAATTAAAGTAAGCGCTCTAAATTTTCTTGTAACTGTCTCGCTGGACAATGATTTGGTTTCCATGTCACTTGTTAAATGAATCCATTTACACTCTCTAGACTCTATTTTACTTAGTGAGTTATTTTATTTCTTAAAAATATGTCGACATAGTTTTTCCGAATTTAATCTTTGATGTATTTTTTTTTTAGTATAGCAACAACATCCTCGCCTAAAAAGAAACGTGATTATTTTGGTAAGAGTTCTGGTTCAACATGTTCATCTGTGTCTTCATCTTCAAACGATATCGATCCAGTATGTTCCACGTCATTAACAACGAGCGATATGTCTAGAAACTATCAATCTTTGAAAACCGTAACAATAGCTAAAAATAGAAATCACCAGCATTCCCTAAAAAATAATGTACTAAAAACTCTTGCTAGTGAAAAAGATTTTACTAGGCCATCGTCGACACCATCATCCTCATTAGCAGCAGTAACACCGTATCGACCAAAATCAATTCCATCGATTTAATCTTTTTATATTTTAAGAACAAAATCAAATAGAAGAACAAGTTCACTTTCTTTTTTTCTTCTCTTATTCTTTTTTTTTTTGTTTATTCATTTATTCATCTCTAATTTTCGTGTGTACATTTTACGTTTTATTTCAACTCAGGAAAAGTCATCGTAAACGGGCGCTTATTAGTCAATTCTTTTTGCTTATTGAATAATGATTCTCGTATATCGATGCATTAATGAAAATGAATTGTCTCCTTTAAACTATTTTACACGTACGCTGTATCAGTGTGTTATGCTCAAAAAACTTTTCATTCTCTATGTAACTGTTTCACATGCTGTTAGGACAATATTAATATTTTTATTTGAATGTTGTTTCGCTCTTTTTTTCCTATTTCTTGGATTAACAACCAACGTATACTATTTTCTCTTGTATTTTGTGCTCAATAGAAGCAAATACAACATACTGCTCTTATTGTTGTACACGTTTGTTTGTTGTGCGTTTATTTGTATAAGATCTTTACTATTTTTTACTTTCTGTTGTGTTTTTTTTCTCTCTCTTTAGATTTTTGCTTTTGCTTTTGCATAGTGATATATTTGTAATGAAAGAACAGAAAGAAGAAAAATGAAGTAAACAGATAAAATTAAATAACATCATTCTACCTGGTATCTGATAAAAGAATCTGCTTTTTGATACAAAGTTAAAGAACTAGATGCCAACTAGTCTAGATTGAAAAACTGACCGAGTGAAACGTTCTTTAGAAACATTTTAGACACCATATAATTCCCTCAGACAGGCTATAAGAGTCCATTAGTCCTGCTTTTACATAAGGATGATAATAAATGCATTTTCCTTTCTTTTCTATTTCATTTATATCTTTCTCGCATAGGAGACGATATTTTTGTAAGAACAACAACGTCTTTAAAAAATATATCAAGTTTAGGCACTAGTTATCAGATAATAAAAGTCGTTAACTAATAGCAAAAGTGGTATCTAGAAGAAAGGGGAAAGAAGAATTTTTTGTGATGAAAAAGAATAAGCTTTCAACGAGTTTCACTCGGCTGGCTTAAACATAGTCCTACAAATATACAATATTTTGTAGTTTGAATAGCAAATAACTCGTGATCAGGAACGCCCTACGTCTTCATAATGTAAGAAGCCATTTCTCTGCTTCAAACATTAATAGATCATTATTACGACCACATGCCAATTACACTTGTAAAGATTGCACGGCTGCCCAAGTTTAATGTTTCTTGCTGATTAAGATGTAAAAATTGTACTATTTTTAACATACACTTAAAGATACCAAAAACGTTTGTAGAAAAATTTCGGATATTGAAATAGCTTTCGTATATTTTTAAACTAAATTTATTGAAGTCATTACATATTATAGTCTGAATAGTGGCATGGCCAGAAAAAAGTTGTAGAGGGGGCTCAGCCTATCTAACCATACATCTAGAGGGGGCTCGAGCCTTTTGTAAGCAGAGGTAAACCGTTTGTAGAGAGAGCTGAGAAACTTCTAGCGGGGGTTCAGCCCCCTCAAGCCCTACTCTGGATACGCCACTAAGTCTGAAGCAGTTTAGATAAATATTTTTGGAGAAGGACATCTATGTTCTATTCCTGAGAACAAGAAATCGAATAGGAATGGCCATTTATCTTTTATAAAACAGTGATTTAAACGATGATATTATTGATTTTTCCTTTAAGAACAAGATATGTGACTGCCTGCCTGTCTACTAGCGCCACTCATCATAAATACTATACAAAGATAAGAGCTATCCCGCTAGTTCAAAAACGGAAATTTCTTTTAATTTAAAATTTTTTGTACTACGAATTGAATTATTTTGATAAGTGAAATTGAGTCTCAAACCAGAAAGCATACGTGGTACTAAAAGTGTTCTCAATTAGCACTGTCTCTGACCAATTACGGAATGATTAGTGGTCAATATGGCGGCGATGCTATCGTTTATTCGCTTGTATGTTTATTTCAGTCGAGTAAATGGATGGTATGAAAATTGTCGACTTTTACGAAGAGAACTTCCTGTATGTAAAGGAAAACTGTTTTCAACAGAGGGCTAACTCCTATCATTGCATACCTTATATTAGTCTCGAAATTTTGTACCTTGTAATATATTAATAATGGTCGAGGGAAGTAAAACGTTAAGCGCAAAACTCTACACTCAACGTAAAAATGCATTGATTGTAGAGTTTTGCGCTTAACATTTGTATCTTACTTATCTTAACGGCTTATACATCAGTCCTGGCCAAATATAATGTTTTCAACGTTGCATAATTCCCAGTTTCAATCTGATTATTGTGAAGAGTGTGGAATTTCTAGTGAGCATTGCCGTCGTTTTGGAAAAAGTCATGGTTAAAAGTTAATTGAAATAAAAAAGTTTCTAATGTTGATTTTGTGGGTTAAAGAGTCTGTTAGTGAATTCGACTGCTGTTTTTTACTTACAAGGTTTTCCTTGATCGAGTTGTCTTTATTTTTAACTTTAGATTGTATAAGCTCATTAGAAATGTCATCATCATTCCGAAAGATATTTGTTGCTCTTTTCTTACTCTGCTCTCATATTGTTTGTACTTCTACAGCCGCTAGTTCAAATTTATTACCAGCACCTTTGGATTCATTTAAAAATCAATTTCAAAATGCCTTGAAATCGCTGACCGATATTTCGACAATTCATTATACATTAGGTGGCATGAAAGAACTTGGTGTACAACCAGCTGAAAATCTATGTGCTGATATTAAGAAGAACGTTGATAGTTCAAATATTGAATCAGTCTACCATGCAACTGAAGCAGCAAAAACACTGAATAATTGTCAAGTATGTACGAAAGATATGTTATTCATCATGTGAATTTAAGAGGGGTTGTCCCTTATATTTCAGTTGCCTGTTAATGAATTTGGTTCAATAATCAAAACAACATTACAGGGAGATAAAACAACGTTGGCTGAACTGTTTTATGCCGTAACTTCTAGCCGAAATTTACAGATACCAGTTGATGAAGATCAAGTAGAAAAACGGTTAAAAACGCTTTCAAAGTCCGACGATAGCATACTTGGTCAAGCTTATGTGCTCATGATTGCCAGTCAATTAAATACAGCAGTAGCTAAATTTTACAGTGATTCAATTCACGATATGGGTAAAATAGCTGAATTTATTCATTGCTTTTAGTGCTTTATTCTCTTCTATTTTAGTTCAACAGGCTGATGAGGTTGATGGAAAAGCCTTACAATATGAAGGTGGTATTGGAACAACAGCAATGATATTCAATGCCATGTATCAATTGGCAGATAAAGCTGCTGTGCCATTAAAAATTGATGCACAACATTTATCTAAATTTGCTTATTACTTCTCTACAAAACGTCATGTGGCTACAATTCGAAGTGCTTACTATCTAATTAAAGCGTACAAATTATTATCAGATCCCAAAGTAAGTAAATGACGTTTTCTGACACAACCGTAAAACTCAGAATTTCATTTAATAAAAAAAGTGTTCGATTTCACGCAAAATCCATTGGACAAAGCAAATTTCATAAACTTTTTTTATTTTAGCATGCCGTACCTGTTGTTGTATCACGAGTTAGTCCTGCATCGATTACTCCAGAAAGTCCATCAGTATTAGTATCAATAACAGATTTAATGGGCCATCCTGTGGGTGAAATATCTGTAGTTGCCGAATCAGCTAAACGAAAGGAAGACGGTGTAGTTGTTGTATCAAAACAGAAATTAACACCAAAAGCGAGCGATTTGTTAGTATCCCTAACGAATTAGAATGCTATTCATGAAGTATACAAGCTTGTCTTTTTTCTTACCTTCAGCTCAGTCTATGAATTACCATTTTATGACACAAAAATTCCTCGTGGCTTCTATACAATTCATTTGACATTGAATCATGTTAAAAGTGAGACAAAATTAATTGGTTTAAGTGATAACACGGTATGAAAGTGTTTTGTAAATAGTATAAAGAAATCTAGTTAACTGTTTAATTGTTGTTTCAAGATTGAAGTTAAAGTAACATCGGAAGTAACAATTGAAAATGCTGAAGTGAATTTGGCCGATCGTGATCATAGTGCACAAGTGAAAACACATAAGTGAGTCAATCTCATTGAGAAAAACATGTAAATATATTTATTTTCTTATAATCTTTTTGTGTGAAATAGACTTTCGTATCCTACCACATTGACAGACAAAATGGATATAGATTATCATCAAAAATTAATTGTTAAATTTCAAATTAAAGATAAAAAAACAAATGAATATATTCGTGCACAACAGTGTTTCTTACGTTTTACAAATAAACAATCACAAAAAGAAATTATTTATTTAGCTGAAGCTGGAACTAATTCACAATACAAAGTTGAAGTGGTATGTACTTTTTTCATCATTATTATTTGTTTGAGCAGAATCGATAAACAGTACAAACTGAGGCCTTACTAGTATTAAGACTTATTTTGTTGATATTTTATTTTTTTTTCTACTCTTGTTTATAGGATTTGACAACCAATTCAAATGATTTTCGTCATCAATCTGGTTTATATGAAATCGTATTAATTATTGGTGATGCATTACTTCAAAATTCATTTTCATGGAAAATAGTAAGTTTTAAAATAAATTGTTTACTATCCGTGTCTAAGATTTTGTTTAATACTAGATTGATGCAAATTTGGGATTTCATGAAGATGCTGTCAGTGAAACGCGACATACACTATCTTATACACCAAAACCAGAAATTCGACACATGTTTAGAGCGGATGAAAAACGTCCACCAACAGTTGTCTCATTAATATTTAGTGGTTTAACACTTTTACCACTTCTTATTCTATTAGGATTGGTATTTATTCTTGAAAATGAATTCTTATATTATTCAATCTTTATCTATTATTTTGTTTTTTGTTTCTAGTGGATCAAACTCGGTTTTAATCTTTCAGGAATGCCATTTGGTCTAAGTCCATTAGGCTTCCACGTTTCTCATGCAGGTAATAATATATTGGGTTAACTATAGTTGTTGTTTTTTTCTACAATAAAAATTATTGGCAACGGATATGCAATTCGTTTTATCTAATAAATTTAACTCAGTTTATTTACTTTTTATCATTCTTTATTTAGCTGTCTTTGCCTTAATGTTTTTGTATTGGAAATATTTGAATATGTTTCAAACCGTTCGTTATTTGGCGATCGTATCGGTACCATTATTTCTCTTTGGACATCGAGTTTTAGCAACGTTGGCTGCTAGACGGTAACTGGTTTTATGAAGTAGTTTTCGACTATAGTACGTGTTAATCACTTTGTTTTGTTTTACTTTTAGAGAGAAAAAAACATGATTAGAAAATGATTAATAATTTTATTAACAGAAAACAACTCTTCTCAGTTATTATAAAATATGCGTTTTGTTATTGAAATAAAAAGTTTTGGTTTATTCTTCAAAATATACACAGTATATACAAACCTTAACGCAGTTTTTAGCATAGGGCTCTTTTTCTGTTGTTTTTTTTTTTCTTTTGTTAATCAGTGTCTTTTTTTATGTTGTTTTGTTCGTTTGTTATCATGAGAAAATCTGATTAGAAAAACGTGTTTAGCTAAAAAACGGTGATCTTTTTGAATATTCTGGAAAAGGCGATATTCGACAAATTTGAAATTTCCAAGCTCGTTACTTTTTTTATTGTTTTCATTCCTAGTTTTTTCTTCATCTTCTCAAGTGTACGCTATGATTTTTATGTCTTTGTTTTCTATGTATTTCTGTTTGTGCGCGTCCATAAAAAAAAACCTATTCCATTGATTAGGAAATGGTGTTCATCTTCGTCTTATGTTTATTTTACTCTCATTCTCTTCAAATTAAAAAATAGATGGATAATACCAATTTAGTCTATTTCTAATCATAGGCAGCGAGATCATTTTTGTTTCATATACATATTTATTGTATGTTCTATTCACGATAAAACAGACATTTATTTTGCTTATGCTATAACAACAGCAAAAAATAGCAGATCACATTTATTCAGTAAATTCCCTAAACAGAAAAAATTTGATCAAGAATAGAAATGCCTTTTCATTCTAACATAGACATTGACATAAATGGACATTGTTTCACCTTCATCAATACAATGTTGTCTGAAATTGAATAATGTAAGAAAAATAAAGCGGTTGTTTTGAAGATGAGACGAGAAATCGTTCAGTATTGGACTGATGGAACATTTGACCCGGATGACAAGCTCAAGGTTCCCCAGCAGACATAAGTTAAGTTCATGCGTTTCAAGTATTTGCTCCGAAGATTGAGTCTTTTATTGATCAATACAATCATATCTCACAAAATAAAGAGTCGATAAAAGTTTTTTTTTACTTTTAAATTTAATAAATAGTCCGTTCGACTGTTGGAATAAGCGGTCAGCTGCGACTGTCTTCGGTTCTGTTCGTGGATAATCACCAACATTAGTGTGCTATCATCCATCAATCATTCGAAAATACAAATGAAATTCTATTCGCCGTTCATTTGTCGACTGTCACTGTGATAAATTAATAGATTTTTCTCAATTACTGTATTCAAATTACTTAAAACTTTCTTCACTCAAATGGTTATGAACGATATGCCTATTCAATTCATGTTCAATGACCATCATTCGCTCATAAGCGTAAGGTCGCGTATTATCTTGAAACCTACGCGTTTTTCTCGGTAAGTTCGTTAATCATCGATATTCCTGCTGTTAAATCAATATCAAATCCTAAATCAACACATCGAGAATTTATTTGACATATATTATGAGTATTTAACGCAAATCTAATTTTATTATTCAGCATCCCATAAGTACCATAAACTCTTCGGCATCGCCTCCAGAAAAACTGAAAGAGAAAGCTGACACAATCAGAAGTAAATTAGTTTTTTCACAAACGCATATACAAACAGATGGTGAAAACGCCATTTGGTTGTTAATTTGTTTTACAGATTATAAAACAAAAGTGTATTTTATCTTAATCTATCAATGACGGCATATCGTAGACTCTGTATATACGTCACACTCCTAGTGTCACATAGTAGAAATCTTTAACGTATCAGCAGACGTTCAGAGGCAAATGCTTACATGAAGTTATTATGAGGGTTCCGAATGGAGCTGACGAGCTTCTGCTGCGTCAGATACACACAAGAAAATGATTTCTGAGACCGTAGGCAGTGGAGCTCCTGAAACTTAGCAGAGGCGCCTCGTAGAGCTAAAATTTGGTGAGCTCAAACCTCATGGCACCGCTGTCTATGAGCGAGACAAAAAATCTAGTCCTATTCCAAGATTACCACCTTAATGGATTTGAGAGGTGGAAGGGAAATGTTTCTCCTAGTATATACGCAAACATATAGAGAAAGTTTCTAACATCTTACTCTGTTCATTTATGGTATATTTAACTATTTTTTCTGGAATCTAAAGACTGATGATTCAGCCATATCACTAATAGGAAGGAAAGCCCTATAAGAATTTCAGATATAATTTCATTAGGAAAGAAAAGATGATCAAAGTGAGAAAAACTTGAGACGGCAAAAGCAGAAAAAGTGATAACTGTGCGCATGGGGAAATTTTAGTAAATGACACAGCGTATACATCAGAGAATATTGTGAAACGGAATGTAAGTGTATGTAAATATCGTGCGCTGACACTCATAAACAGAAGCTTTTCACTTAAGACCGTTGACAAAATGCTCTCGAAAATTTTTCGGTGCCATTTTTCTTGCCTGATCACGCGTGAAAGTTGAGAGCTGTATAAAGAACATGTGTAATTTTTATACATTCACGTGCTCATAAATATTTCAACCCGTGATCGCTAGTAGAAAGTTCACATTCGACTGCGCGTTTGATGCTGGAAGTGCATGACTATGAGACCACAAAATTCTCCATGGGTGATCTTACACAAAAGTGGCTAAACGAACATAGCACTTCTCTCCTGAATGATCAATCATAGACGTTTGTTTTTATTGCCCTGTAAAAATATCTGAGACTTATTTACGAGTTATATCGCATAGATACCACAGTATTCCATGGACTAATTCGTTCATTCGGGAGCAGTATAGATGATATACGAGTCTAAAAGGCTCTCAATTTAATAATCTGAACGCGAATATTTTGAACCGTGATAACTTGTGTATGATGAAAATATATTTGCTACCCAAGAATAGGTAGCTCATCATCCAATACATTTAGATCTAGTGATTCACTGAACGATGCATCCAGATGCAGATAAATGTTTCTCTCAATGTAAATAGGTAACATCATTACCTATGAATTGACATTTACATGAAGTTAAACTCAATACATCTTGTGAATCTCAATTTCGTTTACGTTTTTACTTAGATATTCCAAATTTTTCCACTGGGTAGCATCTGTATGAATGAATTCTAGAATGTTTTCTAAAATCTTTCGCTCTCTTGACGAGTTCATAAAATCGATCGTATGTTGACTAACATAGAAGTAGTTTTATTTGAAATATAATTTTTTGTTACACTACTTACAGTTATTGTATCAAACTATGAATATTAAACACTAATGTATTTCTTATAAACTTTCCTTCTCCCTCTCTCAATATTTGAATGATGCATATAATACATTGATGAAATTAAGGGAAACTATATTAAAATATATTTTGTAAATCCTCATACAGTATAATAATGGGCAACTTCTAGTTCGGTTGTTTATCGGCTACAACGAAGATTATGTGTGTTGCTTAATTTAATTTTCAACTAGCTACGAAAAAGAGAAAATTCTTCATATTTCTTCTAAGAGCAACAAACAGATTAAAGATGCCGATGATTCATTAACAGAATATTTGGTCTTAGAGAAGATATGAATAAACAAATTTTTTCGTTTAAACTTTTCATTATTGTTAGACATTTTTCGAATTTCATTGATTTATAAACTATTAATAAAAATGCATGATGAAATATTTGCTAAATTAAAATTGTAAAATTTATTGTTAAAAACTTTAAAAAAAAAAGATTCAGAAATATTTTGGTATCCGTGACCACGAAGGCGCATTAAACAACACATATCGTTACTAAGTAATAATTAGGAATAAATTGAACATTCGAAATCATTTCTAAACAAACATCGTTTCAAAAAATAAATTAGAGTATTATTCTTAAAAATAAACAATTAATATCCACTAATCGTTTTGTATTACCATTAGTAAAAAGAAAAGAGAATTTTTATTGTTCATTGTTATTAAACGTCAAATAAAAAGTTAGAGAATATTAACGAATATTAATTTGATAAAATACCATTTAATCGTGTTAATTTATTCCTATTATTAGATTAGTTAAGCCAAACAATACTTGGTAAGTGAATTATAAAGGAAGTTTGAGATGAAAGTTTAGGTTACGCAATCAAATCTGTGACAAACAAAAGTTGTTAATCATTTTTCACTTGAGAAAAAGATCTAAGTATTAGAATAGACATTGCCACACTCATCTGTCTACTTAGAATTTAAGAAAACTATTGTTTTTCAGTTTTTTTCTTCCATTTGATGTCTTTGATTGAACCAAACTGGAAGCACGATAACGTAAAGAACAGGTATCGATAAGATCGTTTTTTGCCCAAAATGTTTTCTGCGATGAGAAACGTATCGAAGTGATGATAGCAGGACCATTTTCCACCCATTTAACTTCTTGAAATTCTGATATGAAATCTTCAACACCTAAAAATAATGTTCTCTCATATTTTTTGTAAGCACATGCAGAACTTAATGCAGATCACAAATACCGCTATTAAAATTAAACAAAAGTTAAATTTTTATTCGAAAAATACGTTTTACTAAAAAGCGATTATCAGTAACATTTCACAACTTTCAACTTAATACTAGTTAAAAGCGTTTTTATAACTTTAAAACCAGTCTCCAACGGTCAACAGTGCTTTTTTCATCAGTATATGCGCTTCGAAATAAAATCAAGTTCTCTAAGAAGTTGAAATATTCCTGGTTTCTTCTAAAGCCTTCTAAAAGGGTTTAGAAACACTAAAAACCTCAAAGCGTATTCGAAAATGACTAGAAAATCAAAAAGATTTTAAAGCTGATCTCACGTTTTAATGAGTTATTTTAATGATTACGATAATCGTGATTCATTGAACTTTCATCGAAACTTCTTTCGTCGAAAAATATTTCATCAAATTTACTTTTATCTGAAAAGTGAGTTTATCAAAGATTTCTCTTACGAGGGAACCCCACGAAGTGATTAAACGCTTTTTGCTCGGAATCTAGTGGCTTATAGGTTATCGACCATGCTGATTACGAATACGACCATGCGGCTTCGCATAGCCATTCGAAGACCTGATTTTCTAGAAAACGAGTTTTTCAGAAACCTCAAAAAATAACCCGAACCTTTCTTAATGAGGCATGATTGTAGCCCGCACATTTCTGATTAAAATGAGACCTCTCCCAACTCTACATGACCTTTCTTTGCAAAGTTATAGAATTTACAACAAAAGCCCTAAATGTTCATTGTCAGCTAAAAGCTACAGAAATAAGAAGAAATTAATTTAGGGTCTTCGTGTAAATTCTATAACTTTGCAAAGAAAGGTC